CAAGCTCTATGTGTTTACATATTATTTCTGTAGATTATTTTCAGAAGTTAGTTTTGCTTCCACAGTAAGAGTGAGCAGCTTGGCTCATGTATACCTCAGAAATTATTGCTAATTTTTAATATATACTTCATGTTGAAATTTCTTAGACATACACAAGAAAGTAAATACCACATTCGGCCCAGTGATGTTAACTAGTTTCTAAAATGTTATTTATTTTTATTTGTAACAAGCCATTTACTTAAGTTTATGTAAAGGGATACTTTATGCTTGAGGGATAGCAGAGGTTGTTGCTGTTCTATTTATTGTATAGAAAACATGGCCAGATTTTACTTTCCAACTTACTGGAAGCTCTTCCGTGGACCTTGAGCTAATACAATATATCTTTTGTCACCAAAAGAGTATTATTCTTATGTCATAATGAGAACAATAATTTATGTGCTTGGCATAATAAATGCCTAAAAGACATTTTATTTTATGACTGTATTCTTTGTCTTGCTATAATGGGGATATTGTAAATCATGTATTTGTATAATATTGACAGTATGTATTAAAGCAATAGGTGTAACGGTAAACAAAAACATAAAAACACAAAAAGAGCTTCTACAAATAAAAAGGCCAACAGTCTAGTTTCAAAATGAGCAAAAGACTTAAACGACGCTTCATAAAAGAAGATATTCCAATGGCTGGTAAAAATTTGAAAGAAGTTCTATGAAATCAAAACCAGAATGAAATACCAGAATGGCAGGCTGGGCACTGTGGCTCATGCCTGTAATCCCAGCACTTTGGGAGGGCCGAGGCGGTGGATCACGAAGTCAAGAGATCAAGACCATCCTGGCCGATATGAAGAAATCCCATCTCTACTAAAAATACAAAAAAACAAAAAAAACAAAAAAAAACATAGCTGGGCATGGTGATGTAGGCCTGTAGTCCCAGCTACTTGGGAGGCTGAGGCAGAAGGGTTGCTCAAACTCAGGAGGCGGAGGTTGCGGTGAGCCAAGATCGTCGAGACTCCGTCTAATAATAATAATAATAAAGAAATATCAGAATGGTGACAAAAAGAATGGCAAGGCCACATTTCATCAAGGGTATACACCAGAACTCATTCATGGCCAATGTGTGATAAACATAACTGCTTTAGAAATCTCTGTAGTAATATTTATTATCACTAAACGCATTGCCTTCCTTGTGATCTGGATATTCTGTTTTCAGTCAGATAACCAAGAGAAATGAACACATATGTCCATCAAAAGACAAGAGTATTCATGTCAGCTTTATTCATAACATCCCAAAGTTTCAAACAACCCAAATATCCATTGGCATAGGAACAAATAAATAGCGTGTGGTGTATTCACACAAAGAACTATCATGCACAGCAGTAAAAAGTAATGAATGACTGGTAATGTAGCAATAAGGGTACATCTCACAGACACTGCACTGCGTGAGAGAAGCCGGAGGTTAAATGGATAGTACTGCATGACCACATCTATGCAAGACTAGGCAAAACTAGGCTTCTGTGGCCAAAGGCTGAATAGTTGGTTACCCAGTATCGGTACTGACTTGAAGATGGCCCAGCCACTGGGAATTACATAATTATGTATTTGTTATATATAATAATCCAGGTGCTATACATATGCTATTCATATACATACGGTATACACATGCCAAATAGTTCACTGAGCCATACTTTTAAGATTGGTGCATTTTTGTTGTGTGTGCATTATCCTTTGACAGTGCTGTTTTGATTGACAAGGGAAGGGCGCTTTTTCAAAATATGAAACCACGAAACATGTAGCCCAGAAGTACAGTTTTGGGAGTGGGAGGGATGTTTCTCAAAGCAGAACTCGGGGCAGCCACGGAGCAGCGGATGCGCGGTGAAGGGCGCGTGGGCAGCCGGGCGGCTCCGTGGCCTGGGAACTGAAGGGCGCTTCCTGGCAACGCTGCCAGGGTCCCGCCGCCCCCGCCGAGGTGCAGCCCGACCCCCCACTGCGCGGGCAGCCCAGGTCTTCCCCAGAACCTCCAGAGCCGAGGACCCAGCGCCAAGCCAGGAGCAAAGCAGCGCGCCAGGCTGGAGCTGTTCGTCACTACGGCCGCGTCTGCGCTTCGGTTTTGAGCACCGATCGGTTACCTAACCTCTTAGGACTAACAGCCAGTCTTCTGGTGGCGCTCGCTTTCACCTACTTTTTATTTCCCTTTCTATTCCTGCGAGCTAGGGGGAGCAAGTGTAAATCCCGCCCGCTTCTCCCGGGCTGAAGATGGAGAGGCTGAGGCGGGTTGGAGAGTGCGCACTGCGCATGCTCCGCAGAGCATCCCCGCAGGTCGACCGGGGCGAGGGAGCTACATGAAAGCCTGTGGCTTCTGCTTTGAACAGTCTTAACCTTGCATTTTGCTTTCACACTTAACGCCTAGAAAGCTTGCTTTGATTTTTCCCCAACCTTCCAGTTCATTTAGCTTTAAAAAACAAAATCTCCTTCCAGGAAGAGGGGAGGGGCTTTCCAAGGTAAAATGCTCAGACGTATCAAGTTGAGCTACTCAGTCTAATAAATGAAGCAAAGCATTCCAAAGGCCAGAGGGGATCACCTTGCATTCATCCATAATAGCACGTTGAAATATGCAAGAAAGGAAAAGAATAAAGAGCACAGGGATGTAAAAACAGTATTGCATTTTCTTGTCCACTCATTGAATTGTAAAAATAATAATAACAAATCTTAGGACACTTCTTATTTACTGATATTTTACAAAATCACTCAAGTAACAGTCTATTTCTATTATAAACAACGTGTGAATATTTTAACTCATGCTCAAAAAATAAATAATACGGTAAGGAGTCCAAAACTTTCATCAACTAGCCAAACAACAAATGTCTGCTGAGCTCCTCCTCAGGAAGGCAGTATGGTATCGTGATTAGGACTGAAACATTGGAGCCAACTGCCTGGCTTTTAACATCCTCAGTCTACTAGCTGTGTGACCTTGGGGTAAGTGACTTAACTTCTCTGTGCTTTTTCTCTAGATGCGAAACGGAAATAATGTTATGAGAGTTGCCCTGGCCCATCTTATGTGATCAATGTCGGATGATTATTTTTGCTTATGTTCCTATTACTGCGTTAAGAAGGCAAGCACAAAAGAATTGTTTCTATTTGCAGCATTCTTGCAGTACACTCAGGCGCGGTGGCTTACGTCTGTAATCTCAGCAGTTTGGGAGGCCGAGGCGAGCAGATCAGTTGAAGTCAGGAGTTCCAGAAGAGCCTGGCCAACATGGTGAAACCCTATTTCTACTAAAAATACAAAAATTAGCCAGGTGTGGTGGTGGGTGCCTATAATCCCAGGTACTCAGGAGGATGAGGCACGAGAATCGCTTGAACCTGGGAGGTGGAGGTTGCAGTGAGTCCAGATGACACCACTGCACTCCAGCCTGGGCGACAGAGTGAGACGCGTCTCTTATGTGGAGACGACATATTTCTATAAGCAATGAAGGAACAATAAATCATCATCTAATTGATTTTTAAAGTACTCAGATTTCGGCACAGAAAATTAGAGATTAGGGCAGAGTATGATAAATGCTCATATTCCCCTGAAGCCTACAGGTGTGGTACAGGTGTTGGAGGTGGAAGAATGCAAGCGTCAGAGTCTTCATGAAAGAGGGGACCTTATAGGCCATGTGCACCTGAGTAGGAGGGATGTGCTGGGCAGAGGAAGATAAGAATGCCAGAAAGAGTCCTGGAAAGGGGGGAGCTGGGCGAGTTCAGCACCTCACAGAGACACAAAGGTGATGCCAGGGAGATGACAGCTCCACTGTTGAAAAACAATATTGTCATTAACAACTGCACTCCACTCCACTTCATGCCTATCCAGAAACGAGGGGGAACACACCAGAGGAATACAGGCCCATGCCACCATGCTCAGCTAATTCTTTAGTATTTTTTGTAGAGACAGCATTTTTGCATACTACCCAGGCTGGTCTTGAACTCTTGGGCTCAAGTGATCCGCCTGCCTCGGCCTCCCAAAGTGCTGGGGTTACCGGCGTGGGCCACTGTGCCTGGACGAACAAAGCTATTTGACAATATTAAAGAAACAGTTATCACACCCTTACATAAATCTATGAATAGCACTTACAAAATATTTTCTAAGAATTTTTTGGGAGTGATAGAAATGTAAGATTCTTAGTGGATTTGCTACACTGTTGAGATTGCAGTACTTACATGGTGTAAGACTAACTTTCTGAATGATTATGACAAATCAAATCGTAAGTGCCATTTTTGGTTTTCGGAATATGAAAATACATGGGATGAGGCGCACCTTATGCTTCCGCCAAACGGAATGTCTTTGGTTTCTTGCCTTAGGATCTACCTAGCTCCTACCTTTAATATTCCTTTCCACCTCTACTGTTTATTGCTATGTGTTAGTCTCTCTTTTCTGTAAGAAAGGCATAAATCTGGAGTGCTTTTTTCCAAATATTCCCGCAGAAAGCCACCTTTCCAAGCACAGAATCTTATCAGTGCCAGGAGTTCAGCCGACTTAACACGAAGAGTGCGCTGAAAGGGCTGCTTTCAGCAAACCGTCTCAACCCCGGGCGACGGCGGCCACGGGAGGTCAGGGAGCGCTGGAGGAAACCTGCACGGGGTAGAAACGGCCGGAGGAAGGCGGAGCGCGGGCTGGCTCTCAAGGTGCCCACCCCGGGGACCTCTCTTCAGGCTCCCTGCGGGATCCCCAGCCTCCCCTCCCCCTCGGAGCTCCGCCCCCTTCCTGGCCTCAAACTCCGAGTCCATTCAAACCTCGCCTTCCTGGCCCTGCGCGTTGTCAGGCGTGTAATTGGGGAAACTCCTCCCCGCCGGGACCGCCTCAGAGGCGCTGCCAGAGGACAGCCGCCCGCCTGCCCCCGCCTCTCAGCGCGGCGACCGCACAGCGCTCACAGCCCGGCCTGGGCACCCGCGCCCGCTCGCTGCTCCAGGCGGGGTGGGCGGCGCCGCGCCAGGGGGTCCCCGGCGCCCATTGCTCCCCCACCCGGCTGCGCGGACCGGCGCCACTGTGCGGGCGGGGGCGGCGCGCCGCGGGGGGCCGGCGTCCCGTGTGCGTCCCGTGTGCGCCCCGCGGGGGCGCGGCCAGCGCCGGAGTAGACTCCTGTCCCGCCCGCCGCCAGCAGCCTCGGAGGAAGCCGGGGCAGAGAGGGCCGGCGGGGACGAGGTCCGCGCTGCAGGAAGCCGCGCCCGGCCGAGGCCCCGAGCTCCACGGCACCATGGCCCCGAAGCTGCTGCTCCTCCTCTGCCTGTTCTCGGGCTTGCACGCGCGGTAAGTGGCGCGGGGGCCGCATCCCCGGAGGCCCCGAGCTGGGCGACAGGGCGGCGGGGGGCGCTGTCTGTCGGAGTCCCTGGCGCGCCAGCCGTCGGCTGGGCTGCGGCACGGCGGGCCGGGAGGGGACGGGGAAGTCGGCCCACACCTCACCTGTCCCAGCTCCCTTAGACTGCTTTCTCCTCTGCAGCCGGGAGTGTGGAGACTCACATTAATGGCTCGTCTCCTGAGGCTTTTAGGATCTGGTGATTTTAAGGGGTTTTGAAAACCAGGATCATGGGGCAGGGGCCATTTCTGGCTCCTTACCGACCCCTAATTCCCACCTCAGCTGTTTCAGGAGCTCTCACACACACACACTTTGGCTGACATTCTCTGTCATTTCCATCACTCTGAAATTTCCAAGAACCCGGGAACCGTGGTTCTAACTGCCCAGTTTAGACCGGGCTGGAAAGAGCTAATGCATTGGAGGCAGGTGCGGGGGGATTGGGACCAGGTGGGCAGCAGAAAGCCCTGCTTGTCTGAGAGGACTCCCCTGCCAGGTCCTGCAAACACACACACACACGCACACCTACCTACCTTCCAGATCAGCCACTTTCACACACAGGAACACACGCACTCCCACCCCCATAAAGCACGCATGTTGAAATGGATAATAAGGCTTCTGCCTGGTAATGTAAGACATTATCTCACCATAAATTCCGCAACCTTCCTCCCAGCACACCAGCCAGCTAATGGGAGCTTAGAATCACTCCAGAGGAGACTAAGAGGGCGCATGAGGATACGAAGAGAGTGGGACCCAAAGGGTTAAACCCTGTTGCTGTAAACACAACTGGAGATTCTGGGTTTAGTTTCTTTAATTCTGTCTCTCTGGCTGGATCTCTGGCTAGAACTTGCCGATTGCCCTGTGATTTAAAAATCGGAGCAGTGTCTGGCCTTCCCCTTTCCCCACCCTAGGAAGCTCAGCGTGCCCCTAGCCCCTAAACCCTCTTGTTTTGACGCTTCTCCATTTCCTGGCTCTGGGAGCCAGAGAATCAGAGGGCGTCCTTGCGCGCACAAGCCTGGCCACCATCAGGCCTTTTCATTCATATTTGTGAACTCTCCAGGAGCTAGGAAGACACATGAATAAATCCTACTAAACATCAAGGGGCCCCCAGTTCTCACTCCTGAACTGGGCAGAGGAGCTTACCCTGAGGGAGGAAGCCCTGGCCCTCCCCCTTACCACTGTTCCTCTTTGCTGAGTTGAGTGTGGAAGCCGACTCCACCGGTGACTCACCGGCAACTCTTTCAAAGAGACAGAGCACTCCTTGGGCCTTTCAGCTGAAGTTTCTTTCTATCTAAAGAGGCAGCTGGTGAAAGAGATGGAAATATGCTTTCTGAGGTTGCTTATTCCTGGTTGTGTCTCTGTTTAGAGGCAGAGAGGGAGGTAGACAGCACCAGGCATAGCGTTGAGGCCAGCAGTCACATCTCTGCCACCTTTCTGTTGTCACCAACTCAAACGAGTGACCAGCCCTTCGGGTTCAGTAATCAACTGTTTAGATCTCTGGATTCTTAACATTCTAAAAGAAACACAGACTATCGTCCTCACTACTGCATGTGCTTAGGAAAATACCTTAGCCTCTGCCTTAAAACAGTCCGGTTACTGGGGATTCCCAAATATACGCAGAATCTCTTGGGATTCTTCATCCTTCCATTCTGCGAAGACAGACATAATGATTTTCATTTGTTCTGTATTTGGGTTGGTTTCCCAGCTTTCATAATAGAGCTTGCAGATCAGTTAAAAAATCCAAATTTTATACTAACTTTATTGCTATATGCCTCTTCTTTGAGAGTGTCTTTGTTCTCTGAATGGGTTGTACAGACATGTGAAGCAATCTGATGTGCAGTGTCATCTTTCAAAACTGTTTTGAATTCGGAGGGGATTCTCATTTGCACTCTGAGTTCCTTCCTGCTGTGGAAGTTCCTTGGATGAGGGTCTGATGTCTGTGCTTTGTGGTGATGGCTCAGCAGCTCCCCAGGAGGGGGCCTCCCCATTTTGACACCCATGGGCTTCATAAAACGCACCGATTCCCACTCAGACCTTGGTGATGCCTTAACTGCTTTCTGAGGTTTAGGAACTCCTTTTAATGTTTAAAAATACTTCAGACTTTTTCTCGGTCCTTCTGCTTTAAGCAAAGGTGTAAGACATGAAGATAAGATCTGAGGGTTGAGTTGTTTTTTGACAATGACAATACATCACTGATTTATTTTTAAGAAAAAGCTAATTGCAGTAATGGTGTTTAGGATCCAACAATGCAAGTAACAGTGCTCATAAAGACTATATATAATTCACTTAGAATTTAGGGAAAGAAAATATTTCTGTATTATCCACATTCTAATGGGTCCTCTGAGATGAGATTTCGTTTTCATGAAAGCAAGCATTTTCCTGTGGGCCTGGTGGTCTGGCACTAGCAATGTGAGGCTTCTATTTCATTTTCAGGATTTGAGGGAGAAGGGTGCTCACAGCCCAGGGACCTAGAGCATCTCGGCCTCACTCTTCCCACTGCCTACCCAACCAGGTTACACAGCTGGGGCCCTGATATGCCTCCTGAAGGGGTGGAAGAGAACGTTTCTGCTTTCTTTTTCTTGGTCCCCCTCACTGCCACCTGTACTGGCCTCTAAGGAGGAAGCTCTTGCAATTTCAGGAAAACCCTCTCATCACCACTAGAGGGAGAATTAGGCTTATTAGAATACCTGTAAGTAGCTGGAAGTAGTTTTCAAAAACGAAGGCTGCGTATACAGAGAATGATGAAAAGCTGGTTACTGTGCTCGGTTTGTGTGTATGTGACTATCAGGGCCATAGACAATAACAGACTGTGGAGTCTGTGGTCTGGCTCTGTAGTGGTGGGGGTAGGAGAGGGGAGGCGGAGGGGAGGGGAAGAAGAGAGAGGGGAAGAGACAGAGACAGCAGAGAGAGGGAGGAAGGCACCTGGGCTGAATCGCCAAGTGTCCTGAGCATGTTGTGCCAGATTCTGCTGAGATGAGCTACCAGCCTCTCCTCACTGCTGCAGATGCCCTTGCTCTGTAGTGATTTGCCCTATCCTGTGGGCAGTGCTTGATTCCCAGCTATCTAAATGCTTCAACCTGCTCTTTAAGTTTTAAAAAAATTTTGCAAGATGATAAGATTAACATTTCTGATAATACTCCTGATGACACAAAATATTTTAAATTTAAAATTTATTATTATTATTATTGTTTGAGATGGAGTCTTGCTCTGTTGCCCAGGTTGGAGTGCAGTGGCACTATCTCAGCTCACTGCAACCTCTGCCTCCTGGGTTCAAGCAATTCTCCTGCCTCAGCCTCCCGAATAGCCAGGACTACAGGCATGTGCCACCATGCCCAGCTACTTTTTTTGTATTTTTAGTAGAGACAGGGTTGCACGCTGTTGGCCAGGCTGGTCTCGAACTCCTGACCTCAGATGACCCACCCACCTCAGCTTCCCAAAGTGTTGGGATTAGAGGCGTGAACCACCATGCCCGGCCAGATGACATGAAATATTTTTGAGTAACATTTAAAATTCTGTAGTATTACTTGTAAATGTTCACTTTTATAAATAATGAAATGCAACATATTCCTTATTGAATATGTGCCCCACATTTAAAAGTTCCTATCGATCATGAATATCAAATGTGCATAAAAATCAACAGCAATTTATAGTTTCTGTGGATGATTTAATTTAACCTCCTAGCCAATAGGTACTCAGGAAATAGAATTACAGTTTAAGATCAGCCTAGGAAAAACGTAAGTGGGGAAGTCATTCTTTGAGACATACGCCGTATACTCATTGTCAAGATCTCTCGTTTATGTACATGTTCATCCAGGTTTAGACTATCTGGCCAACACTCTAGTCTACATTATGGCTAGTTAACACACTTTAAAAGACTCATGTATATATTACATAAGTATGCATATGTGTATATATGAAGACCTAAATTCAGTAGCAAAAATGAACGTGAAAGTTTATTTTTTTAATTAACATCTTGTTAATTATAGATAATTTAGACAATTCTCAAAATTAAGTTCAAGAAACTTACATCCCAGAGCACAAGTGTCCTGACATGACACTGACATTCTGGCTCCCATGTGGGAAGCTAAACAGAAAAGAGTTCGTATCCAGTCAGGACAAATCTGCCTCCGTGCAGTTTTCAATTCTTTTTATTATTCTCTTCTGTGAAGAGAAAGTTACTAAAGCATGCACACTGACAAACTAGAAAGGAAAAGGTTGGTTTACTTCACATGCTTTTTTGCTGGGGCCAATGGTAGTCTGCCTGGAAGTGCTGCTTTAAGGCAGAAAGAGACTGTCCGCTCTCTAAGCCCATGTGACTATAGTGTTGAGATGGCCTCACTCACTGAGAAAACCAGCTTGTCAAGTACAAGTGTGTGTCAATTATAAACCAATTTTTTTTTTTTTAACCGAAAACTGAGCTGGGCACAGTGGCTCATGCCTGTAATCCCAGCACTTTGGGAGGCCGAGGCGGGCGGATCACAAGGTCAGGAGATCGAGACCATCCTGGCTAACACGGTGAAACCCCGTCTCTACTAAAAATACAAAAAATTGAGCCAGGAGAATGGCGTGAACCCGGGAGGCGGAGTTTGCAGTGAGCCGACATTGTGCCACTGCACTCCAGCCTGGGTGATAGAGCGAGACTCCATCTCAAAAAAAAAAGAACAAAACAAACAAACAAAAAAACCGAAAACTGCAGAACCAAAAAAATAAAAAATAAAAATAAAAAAATTAAAAAGTAAAACTAGCTGGTCATCCTGAGGCCTCTCCATTCAGGCACTCCTGTCAGTGCGTGTCACCCGGGAGAGAAGGCTGTCCAGCTCCTCTCTGCACAAAACAAGCTCAGAGATGCCCAGGCGTTCACTGAGACTCATTTACTAAGAAGTCAGAATGTTGAAGATGTATTCGAAAGCTTAGTTTTTCATGTCTATGTTAGCCTGCTGTGCAGAAGATGAATCAGTTTGTGTTGACCGAGGCGTGTAAGATTGCCAGAGGGTCTTCACTAGTCACTAGCAGACATTTCTGTCCTTGCTTCCAACCTGAGTGCCGGCAAAGCAGACCCCCTCACAATGTCCAAGTGTCTAGACCCCCAGATTCCCGCCTCCAAGAGAGAAGCACAGAGTCAGACTCAACTATTTTGAATGAGTCCAGTCTGCAAAAGCTAATCTCACCTTCAACTAAAATGAGGTCTTGGTGGTCAGGGGTGGAAACAACGTGATACAGTCATCGTATGGAAAACCTCTAGGTTTGTGCCTTGGCCTTCACAGTCTCTCAGGGTGGATTCAAGGGTCGTGTTGCCTGCTGGTTAGCCCTCTGGTATTGTTTACCTGCCACGTTGTCTGTAGTTTAACTGGGATGGGGGATGGTCTTGTGACATTTAATGAAAACATACCTTGTTAATAGCAGTAGCATTCTTCCTATGGAATCATTCCTATTTTGTGTTTCTTTCTTTTTTAAAAAAATTTTTCGGGGTTTCATGTGTGTGGTTGGGCTGTGGGTACTGGGGACTTTCTACCCCTTTCATGGTACTTGGATAGGACAAACTTAGGCTCTTCCTAGAGCCATTGCTGCCACTTACTTGTCACATTTTTGTGCTATAACTCCAGGTCCAGAAAGGTGGAAGAGGATGAATATGAAGATTCGTCATCAAACCAAAAGTGGGTCTTGGCTCCAAAATCCCAAGACACTGACGTGACTCTTATTCTCAACAAGCTGCTAAGAGAATATGATAAAAAGCTGAGGCCGGATATTGGAAGTGAGTGTTGTTTCTTGTTCTTCTGATAGAAAAATATTCTGTAGTGATAGGTTTTAAAGTTTTAACTTTTGAGTAATTGTAAATTCCAAGAGGATGGCAAAGACAGTACAGAAAGGTCTGCTGTACTTGTCACACAATAGATAACTTAGTGGGATACCAAACCAGGAAACTGACGTTGGTGCCATGCAGGAGCATGGCTCTGTGTCATTTTACCCCATGTAGGCTTATGTGACGATCCTTGAAATCAAGATACAGAACCCTCATCAAGCAAAAGTGGATCTTGTATTCCCCTTGCTATCCCTTTACTGTCACATCTGCTTCCTTCCCCCCAATTTCTAACCATTGTCAGCCTCAAATTTGTTCAATTTGTTCTTTATTTACTTTTTATTTATTTACTTTTTGCCACTTTGAGAATGTTACATATATGGAATCATTGGCCTTTTGAGACTGGCTTTTTTTTTTTTTTTCCAGCAAAATGATTTTGAGATTCATTCAAGTTGTTACACCTGTCAGTAGTTTGTTCTTTTTTACTGCGGAATATTTGTTCGTGGTATGAGTGTATCACAGCGTCTTTAGCCATTCATCTATTGGGGAACATTTTGATTGTTTCCTGTTTTTGTCTATTGCAAATAAAATGACTGAGCACATTTGTATGCAGGTTTCTACGTGAGAATAAGATTATATTTTCTGGGATAACTGCCCAGGAGTATGATTGCTGGGTTGTATGGCAGAGTATGTTTAATTGCTTAAGGCACCGTCTTATACACTATTTTTCGTTTCCACCAGCAATATCTGAGAGATCCAGTTTCTCACCAGCAACTAGTATTTCAACTGTTTTTTATGTTAGCTGTTCTAATAGGTGTATATTTAATAGGTTGATATCTCATTGTTGTCTTAATTTGCATTTCCCTAATTGTTACTGATACTGAACTCCTCTTTTATTTATGTTTTTGCCATCAGTATATCCTTCTCATTGAATTGTCTCTTCATCTTATTTGCCCTTTTAAAAATTGGATTATTTGGTCTTATTTTATTTTTTTACTGATGAGATTGAGAGTTCTCTATATATCCTAGGTATGATCCTTTATGTCAGATCCATAGCTTGCTTTTAATCCTTTTAATAGCATCTTTCACAGAGGAAAAGTTTTTAATATTGACAAAATCCAATTTTATTGATTTTTCTTTTATGGAGCATGCTGTTAGAGTATTGTCTAAGAATTCTGTATGAAGCCCTAGCTCTTGAAGATTTTCTCCTTTGTGTTCTTCTGAAAGTTTTATAATTTCATCCCTTACAGCTTAATTTGTTAACTGTTTTGATTTTTATATAAAATCAAAATGTAAGATTTAGATCTAATTTATTTTCCCCCACCCTCCATGGATGCCCAATTACTCCAGCACCATTTGTTGGAGAGACTATCCTTCCTTGACTGAATTGCTTTTATGAAGTTGTCAAAAATCAGCTGACTTGACTGGTGTGGGTTATTCCTGGTTCTTTGTTTTGTTCTGTTTTATCTGTGTGTCTGTCACTTTATCTATACCCACATTTTTTATTACCATAGCTGTATTATGTCTTCAAATTTTATCAAGTAATTCAACCTCTTTATTCTTCCTTTTCAACATTAACTCATCTTAACTTCTTATAGTTCATATGCTTTTCGATATAAATTTTAGAATAATTTTTTCTGTAACTACAGAAAAATCCTGCTGGGATTTGGTAGGAGTTTGTTAAGTGTAGGTATCAATCTGGAAAGAACTGGCGTCTCCACTATGTTGCATCTTCCAATCCGTGCATATGATAGGTCTTTTCATTATTTAAACCTTCTTTATGTTCTTACATCATTATATCAGTGGTTTCTAGTTTTCAAGAGATATGTCCTGAATGTATTTTGTTAGATTTATGACAAAGTATTGTTTTTTGGAGTGATTGTGAATAGTACTGTATTTTCACATTTCATTTTGCCTGTGTTAGTCTAGTATAGTAAATACAATTGATTTTGGTATGTTGATGTGTTCTCTGACTTGCTGAACTTATTAGTAATAGAAGTTTGGGACTTTTTTTTGGTTTTGTTTTGGTAGGTTCCTTGGCATTTTCTATGTAAACCATCATTGTCATCTGCAAATAGGGAGAGTGTTCATTCTTGCTCTCCAATCTGGGTATCTTTTATTTATTTTTTCTTGCCTGTTGCCCTGGCTAGAACTCCCAGCACTATGTTGAACAGCAGTGGTGTGAATGGACATCTCTGTCTTGTTCCAGATCTTGGGGCAAAGCCTTCAGTCTTTTCCCATGAAGTGTGGTGTTAGCTGGTGGTATTTTGTACATGTTCTTTATCCACTTGAGAAAGTTCTGTCTATTCCTAGTTTTCTGATACATTAAAAAAAAGTTTCACGATACTTAAAAAATCATGAATGGGCCTTGAATTTCACCAAAGGCTTCCTTTTACTGCATCAGTTGGTATGATTATATGATTATTTCTTCAGTCTGTCAATACGGTGGATTATATTAATTGATTTTCAAATATTGAATCAGTATGGTATCCCTGGAGTAAATCCCACTTAGTCATGGTGTTTAATAATACTCTTTTAAGGCCGGGCGCGGTGGCTCAAGCCTGTAATCCCAGCACTTTGGGAGGCCGAGACAGGCGGATCACAAGGTCAGGAGATAGAGACCATCCTGGCTAACACAGCGAAACCCCGTCTCTACTAAAAATACAAAGAACTAGCCGGGCAAGGTGGCGGCGCCTGTAGTCCCAGCTACTCAGGTGGCTGAGGCAGGAGAATGGCGTAAATCCGGGAGGTGGAGCTTGCAGTGAACTGAGATCCGGCCACTGCACTCCAGCCTGGGCAACAGAGCAAGACTCCGTCTCAAAAAAAAAAAAAACAAAAAACCTGTTTTAAAAACCTCCTTTTGTATATTGCTGAATTCTATTTGCTAATATTTTGTTAAGGATTTTTGCATTTCCATGTTTAAGGGACTATTTTTTCTGTCTTGGGTAATAGGAGCTTTATACAATGGGTTGGGAAGTACTCCCTCATCTTCGGTTTTCTAGAAGAGATTATATAAGGGTTTGTGTCGATTCTTTAAATGTTTGATAAAATTCTCCAGTGATACCCTCTGGGCCAGGAGATTTCTTTTCTGGGAGTTTTTTTCATTTCCTTAATAAGTCTATTCAAATGATCACTTTCATATTAAAGTTGTGGTGATTTTTTCAAGAAATTGATCCATTTCTTTTAAGTTGTCAAATTTATGTGTTTAGCATTGTTCATGATATTCCCTCATCATCTTTTGTGATGTCTGTAGGACCTATAATAATATCCCTGCTTCATTTCTGATACTGGTAACTGGTGTCATCTTCCTTTTTTTGTCAGTCTTGCTAGAGGTTTATTTTATTGACCTTTTTAAAGAACCAACTTTTTGTGTGGTACTTTTTCTGTTATTTTTGTTCCCAATGATATCAGTTTTGCTTTTATACTTATTATTTCCTTTATTTTTCTTGCTTTGGGCTTATTTTGGTTTTCTTCTTTTTGAAGTAGAACTTAGAGTCTTTGATTTGAGACTATTATTTTCTTATGTAAGGAACTTTTCCTTTCTGTAATTCTTTAACTTCATCCCATGAATTTTGTTATGTCATATTTTCATTTTCATTCAGTTCAATGTGTTTTTAAATTTCCCTTGAAATTTTTTGCTTTAACTCATGAATTATTTAGAAGCCTGTTTCGTAGGGGAACAGCAGACACTGGGGCCTATTTGAGGGTGGAGGATTGGAGGAGGGAAAGGATCAGGAAATATAACTAATGGGTACTTGGCTAATTACCTGAGTGATAAAATAATGTGTACAACAAACCTCCATGACATGAGTTTATCTATATAAGAAATCTGCACATGTACCCCTGAAGTTAAAATAAAAGTTAGGCCGGGCGCGGTGGCTCAAGCCTGTAATCCCAGCACTTTGGGAGGCCGAGACGGGTGGATCACGAGGTCAGGAGATCGAGACCATCCTGGTGAACACAGTGAAACCCCGTCTCTACTAAAACTACAAAAAACTAGCCGGGCGAGGTGGTGGGCGCCTGTAGTCCCAGCTACTCGGGAGGCTGAGGCAGGAGAATGGCGTGAACCCGGGAGGCGGAGCTTGCAGTGAGCTGAGACCCGGCCACTGCACTCCAGCCTGGGCGACAGAGCGAGACTCCGTCTCAAAAAAAAAAAAAAAAAAAAAAAGTTAAAAACAAAAAAAACAAAAAAAACAAGCTTGGTCTCATAGAGAACTTACATCCCAATAAGGATGTGATTTTTCAACTGAAAAACATTCCCAAATTTTACTCTTGAAGAGGGAGATCGATCATTGTGTTTTAGGTTTTGAAATGGAATTGTTTCCAAATTTTGACTTTTGTGACTAAAACTGCAACATTTCTGCACAAAAAAAGAGAAGTGTGTTTTTAGTTTCCAAGTACTTGGACATATTCCTATTGTATGTTATGGATTTCTAGCCTGATTCCACTATGATCAGAGAATATACTCTATATGAGTTTAATTCTTTTAAATGTGTTAATGTTTGATTTGCCATCCAGGATATGGTCTATCTTGGCAAATGCTCCATGGCCTTGAAAAGAGTATGTATCCTGCCATCAGTGGATGGACTGGATCCTGTTGTCTGAATGTGTTGTTCAGTTCTATATCCTTGCCTATTTTCTGTCTAGTTTTCTATGGATTATTTGAATAGATTGACAATTGATAGATCAAAAAGTAGATTCTGACCCAAGAGAGCAGTGGTATATTTGGCCAGGAGGGAAGTGGCACATACAATTGCTGGTACAGGCACTCACAGGCCTTGTGGTGACCGTAAGGGGAAGGGGGGATTGCAGCAGACACACCATCGGTGGGATGTACCTGACCGTGGCTTGCTGTTTCTCTTCCGGGAGGCTCCACTGCCTGACAGCTTGCTAGTGCTCACACTGCCCAGGCACACTGTCCCTCCATTTTTCCAAGCCCAGGACTCCAGCATGTC